TTACTACTTACTACTACTTACTACTACTTACTACTACTTACTACTACTTACTACTACTTACTACTGCTTACTACTACTTACTACTACTTACTACTACTTACTACTACTACTACTACTACTACTACTACTACTTCCTCTACTACTTCCTCTACTACTACTAATACTAATACTAATAAGGAAAATAGCGATAATGACAATAGTAACACGACTGTTTATATATATACACACAGTTACACACATACTGCTGATGTGGTGAGCTTGCGTTTCGGTGCTTGGCATTCCTGATGATGGTCGTCGTTTTGGTTGATAATTCTTTTGCTGTGTGTTAAACGCGGTGGCGACAGTGATTCTTCTGACTATCACCCGGAAACTGACTGATGTGACAGCTGCTTGCCTTACTGCAACGATCAGGCCGGACGCCCACCTGGTACATGTTCTGCAGCTGAATCTGGTTTGTCAGGTCCATCTGCTTCGTTTCGCCACCTCCTTCGTTGAGAAACTTGAGCTCACATAGCCACTGATCACCGGCAGCCTGCGTGAGTCCAGGGCTTACAAAGGCTTTCTATAAGAGGCTCTTTAAGGGTTCCCATACGACTACACGGGTTTCCGTAAGGGTTGCTACCAGGGTTACTGTAATCCAAGAAGGTCCATATATATATATATATACACATATGTTACTATATATATATATATATATATTTATTATTATTATTACTATTATTTTTACTACTAATATTACTACTATTATGGAAATAGGTCCCCAACACCATAGTAAGGATAGTCTTTTGGGACTTAATTCCATAATGGTAGTGTGTGTGGACCCTCTGGGAATAAGGTCTGATATATGGTCCAGATCCCCAAACCTTTCGGCTTGTACTTACTTCCTGCTTTAGTCTTTAGTACGCTTGAGGTTCAGCGGATTCAGAACACCACTGAACCCTAAACCCTAAATCCTAAAACCACCGCTAAGCTCTAAATCCTGCCTTCCAAAACCAACGAGGGATTTCTCAAAGCTCTTGCCTCCCCAAAGGGTCCAAAGGACCTACATAGTAGAATGTAGGGGCCTTAATCATTAGAATAGGGTTTTGGGGAATATTCGACTGACTATAGCTACAATAAGGAACCCCCCACAACAAAAAACATATTATACTATAGGTAGTTACTTCGGCTCCTATGGTAGTAGAGTGCAGGGTTTCTGTATGAGAAATTACTGCTTGTATTATGATTCATGATTTAGGGCAGTAACCCGCCCATAACAGTACACCCTAAACCCTAAACCGAACACCCCAAACACTAAACCCGAACCCGAACACCCTAAACCCTAAACCCTGAACCGAACACCCCAAACCCTAAACCCTAAACCGAACACCCTACACCCAAACCCTAAACCCTAAACCGAACACCCTAAACCCTAAACCCTAAGCCGAACACCCTAAACCCTAAACCGAACACCCTAAACCCTAAACCCTAAACCGAACACCCTAAACCCAAACCCTAAACCCTAAACCTAACACCCTAAACCGAACACCCTAAACCCTCAACCCTAAACCGACAACCCTAAACCCTAAACCCTAAACCGAACACCCCAAACCCAAACCCTAAAGCATAAGGCCGGCTGGGCTCCAAACTCCAAACTCCTAGGGTGTAGGGTTTAGGGTTTAGGGGCCTTGGCGCACTGCTCTGACGGAACATAGGAGGCAACAATCTCTGCCCGCAACGCACCTTGGGGCTTCGAGTTTAGGGCTTAGGGTTTACAAGGGGTTTGGGGTTAGAGGTTAGGATTTAGGGTTTAGGGGCTTCAGGGTTATAGTGTTGAGGATTTAGGGCTTAGGGGTTAGGCTACTAGAGGGTTTAGGAAAAAACTCGAACATCAGGTTCAAACGGGTTGGCAGACAAAAACCAAAACAGACAGTTGCAATCTCCACAGCCAGGATGCTGGTTGTCTTTGTCGCACCCTCGAAGGTACCGAGGCGCTCTATCAGCCAATCGCATTTCTCGACGTTAGACAGCCTAGGCTCTCTCTTCTTCAACAACCAGGCCCAAAAAAGTTCAAACTTTTTAGGATAGACCCTATATATATATATGTATATATATATATATATTTATTTATTTATTTTTTTTAAGCCAAAAAGTTTAAAGTTCTCCCCATTGGCTATCTAAGGGCTGCCCCCTTCAGAACCTGTGAGTCTCATCCTACGAGTACATAAGGGTTCAGGGACTTCAGGGGTTTAGGGTTTAGGGTTTAGGGATTTAAGGGGTTTAGGTAGGGTTTCGGGTTTAAGGTCCTACACAAGCTACACCCAAAGCCGCAATCAGAAGAACACAAACCCTGCCCAACCAATGCTCTAGGCCATCTTCTGCGCTATTCCGGAGCAGACTGCAGTTCAAGAAGCAGTATCTCAAAGAAGGGAGCTCCGTTTAGGATAGCTCTAACCTCTCTCCCCTTGTGCTCTTCTTTAGGGTTTAGGGTTTAGGGGTTGAGGGGTTTGGAGGTTTCGGGTTTAGGGTTTAGGTGCTCTTCTATTGGGATATGTAGACGGCACGCCCTCATCCATAATCTACATTGAGGCTTTATACTTGGCCTTAGATGTCCTTTTCTGGAACCTCCAAGAAACAGCACTAAGAACCCCTCAACCCTAAACACAAGGCCTCCATATCCGAAGGCTTAACCCAAAGGCTCCATGTACCTTCATAGTAGATACTTTGCCCTTAAGGTACCTATATGGGGACCCCTTGAAGGCCTAAGTATCTACTATAAGGGTACATGGGGCCTATGAAAACCCTAAACCCCAAACCCCTAAACCCTAAACCCTAAACCCTAAACCCTATGGGTAAGCCACCCTAATGTCTCCTCCAAGCCGCGTTTTCTCAGGGCAATACGTTTTCCTCATGCTGTCTCCGAGCTTCCTCATGAACTTAGCGGTAATCTTTCCTGGGATGTTCGGAAAGAAAGAAAACCGGGATCCGCTTCCTGGGCTCCCTGTTCAAAACCTATGGAAACCCAAAGAAGATCATTTTTTATGGGCTCCTTGTTGGAAAAAAACCATTCGGAAACCCTCTAAACCCTAAGACCTAAACACTGAACCCTTGTAAAAAGATATGGAAACCACAAACCACACAAAATGTGAGACGGATCCCACGCAGATGGACCAAGCTTCTCGCGAGCTTGCAGTTCCTGGGATCCGGCGGAGCTTTCGGGCTTTCGTTTTCTTTTTTTTGGGGGAGGGGGGGGTGGGGGGGGTTACATAGGGTTTAGGGTTTTCAGTTTTCTGGGTTTAGGGCCCACTTCTCAGGGCTTTGCGGTTTTGGTTTGGGGTTGAAGGCGTCTTCCAACCTGCAAGCGGTTGCCTTGTAATGTAAGGGCCTTAATAATTAGAATCGGGTTTTGGGCTCCTTTATGGTACAACTATACTGAGGAACCCCCCAAAATAGTATTGAACCCTTAACCTAAACCCTAAACCTTAACTATTCAGGCTCCTACAGTATGGTGTAAGGGCTCGGCTCAGGGTTTCGCGCATAAGATGCCCCTAACAAGCCAGGATATGTCATGATTATCCCTAAATCTTGATCTGGGTTGTAGTTTGGGGGCCCTGAAAAGTATTTATGAATAGGTACCTCTACAGAAACCATAAGGGAAAGTTTAAAGTTTCCCAAATTGCTGCCTAGTAAACCCTTGATTCAAATACTCCTCCAACATTAGGGTTTAGGGGCCCGGGTTTAGGGTTTAGGGTCTAGGGTCTCGGGTTCAGGGTCTAGGGATTAGGGTCTAGGGTTTAGGGTTTAGGGTCTAGGGTCTAGGGTCTAGGGTCTAGGGTTTAGGGTTTAGGGTTTAGGGTCGCGACCCCCCAAGGTATCGGCCCCAAGCCCGAACCCCTAAGCCTCAAACTACAAAAAAATAACAGCTACCTCTAGACTCCATAGTAAACCCCTAAAAAGGGCCCTATTCTACTTACTAAGGCCCTTCTATCTGAATGGAAGACAGTCCAAAGGTAGTTCCTTTTCGTGGCTTAGATTTAGGTTCCTATAAGGTCATCCCAGAAAGGAACTACCATGGAGACTATAAGTATAGCATGGTATAGCCGAACTTGTGAAGCCACGTGGAAGCTTGAGAAAGTAAGCGCTCTCCGCACTTCTGCAGGCCCTAAGTTCATCAGTACCTAGGGTTTAGGGTTTAGGGCCCCTAGTTTTCTGGAAGCCCCAGATAGAGCAAAGGCGCTTCTCCAGAACCGCAGCAGCCTTTGCCCGACACTTGGAGAGTTGCTCCACCACCTCCGAATCGGCCAGTTCCTGTATCTTGTCCTCCGTGTACAAAGCGTCACCCTGCTCTTGGCAAACGTCGAAATTGTCCACCTGCGGCGGTGATCAGTGCTGGACATGCTAGATTGACTTTTGGGAGGTAGTATTATCAGGGGTACCCCTTAAAGGGTACCCCTTCTGAACCCTACTTTTGGCCCTCTTCAAAGGGACCTGATTGAGAGGGTCTATATTTCCAAGGGTCCCCCTAATCCTAGCTCCGATTTGGGACCCTTGAAATGCCAACCAAGGTCATAGCTGCCCATTCTATGCAGCCTGCGGGTGGAAGTGCACGGTCAAGATGCTATCCATATGTCGTCTGCGCAGGCATTCATGGTTGAAACCCCCCCAAAGCGTTACAAACTATGTAATATGGAAGCCGACAAGGTCCCTTGAATGATCCAGCCCCAATATATGGGCCTAAATAATGACCAATATTTTGGGGGGTTCACTATTATAATTATACTCTACTGGGCCCCAAAACCCTATTCTACTTAGCAAGGCCCTTATATTAACCTTATATTAACCCTATTCTAATTAGTAAGGCCCTTATATTAACCATATATTAACCCTATTCTAATTAGTAAGGCCCTTATATTACATGATGTTGGCCGACCTTGTCGCCCTTGTTAACGTCAGGACAGTCCACGTCGATGTCCAAGAGTTCGCAGGTGAATCTCTCTTCTTCAACAACCAGGCCCAAAAATGTTCAAACTTTTTAGGATAGACCTAATATATAAAGCCAAAAAGTTTAAAGTTCTCCCATTAGCTATCTAAGGAACTGATTCCACGAGGTTCCCGTCAAGGCCATAGCTTCCTGACGCTCTTAGGGCTTAGGCTTAAGCCCCTGCCGCGATGATGACCAACCCATGTTTAGTTTAGTGTTTTGGAAGTCACATCGGCAGCTGTGGTCCGTTAATTGTCTGAAGATGCTTCCGTCGAACTGCGCCTGTCAGAACCTATCATCGCCAAGCCGTCGTGTTGCGATATGGTCTCGCTTGTGTCTTTATTTACTGGGCGGTGTAGTGTCGTGATACCCGAAATAATCACAGTATTCCAAGCCCTATACACCAGAAACCACGGCCCTATATTCCCTAGACCTTGACCCCAGAGTTCTTCTCAAAAGCAATGACGGATTGTCCAGGCTGTCACGGTCAGTTGGGAGTTCGAAGCCCCAAGGCGCCAGGGTTTAGGGTTTTAGGGTTTAGGGTTTAGGGTTTAGGGTTTAGGGTTTAGGGTTTAGGGCCAGCACTAGATCCCTGCCAAAACACCTTGACACGACAAATCGCGAACACAAAACTGAACACTTGCCCCGGCCGCCTAAACCCCAACAACAAAAGCTCGAACGAAGCCCAACCCCAAACCATAGCATCCTAAAGCCCAACCCCTACACCCCCCAGAACCGTAATCTCAAAGACATTTGGTCCGGATGGGTCCTGGAAGACCTCGGAGTCAGATCCATGCACGTGCTTCGTGGCCTCTTCGAGAGCCCACACATCGCAATCCTCCACATCTCTCCTGAGCAGGTACGAGTAGTAGAAATACAAAAGACTAATGAGCACCACCAGCACCAGTACCGGCACCAGCACCAGCACCGGCACCGGTAGCAGCACCAGCACCAGCACCAGCACCACCACGCACCATCACCATCACCAATGCATGATCACCGCCATCACCATCACCATCACCATCACCAATGCATCCTCACCGCCATCACCATCACCATCACCATCACCATCACCATCACCATCACCATCACCTTCACCTTCACCTTCACCTTCACCTTCACCTTCACCTTCACCTTCACCTTCACCTTCACCTTCACCTTCATAATCATCATCATCACCATGGTGATCATCATCCTCATCACCATAACCATCGGCGTCGTCATGAGCGTCACCATGGTCATCACCATGATGATGATGATCATCATCATCATCACCATTACCATCACCATCACCATCACCATCACCCTCACCATCACCATCACCATCACCCTCATCCTCATCCTCATCCTCATCCTCATCCTCATCCTCATCCTCATCCTCATCCTCATCCTCATCCTCATCCTCATCCTCATCCTCACCACCATCACCGTCACCGACGACCATCGACATCATGGTGAGAACTCTCTTAGGGCTACGAGCCATCGCACCCGTGCTCTTGCAGGCACAGGGCTTGGAAGATCCGGTTATTTGTGCTTTGGGCTGGTCGCAAGTGGCGCGGAAGCTTTGAATCACGAGGTTTAGGGGTTCAGGGTTGGGGGGTTTATCTTTCTGGGCTTCCAAATTTCAGCGTCTAGGGATTCAGGGGTTTTAGTTTATGGGATGTTCAGAATGTCAAGTAATTACCGCACAAGGGTTTGGAACAAAGTCGGGGAGTTCGCACCTAAACAAGCTCATAAGGATTTAGAGTTTGAGGGGCAAGCTAGACCAAGACCCAAAAGGGAAAGGAGTTCTGAAACTTAAACCTTAGACCCAAAAAGGAAAGGAACCCTAAAGACCAAGCCATTGGTGCTCGATCGTGCGGAGGGTGTGATCGGGATTGGGAGGTCGCTGAAACATCCGAGGCGGGACTCACTCACCCAAACCGAGCTCGTTATAGGGTTTAGGGTTTAGGGTTTAGGGCTTAGGGTTTAGGGTTTAGGGTTTATAGGGTTTAGGGCTTAGGGTTTAGGGTTTAGGGCTTAGCGTTTAGGGTATAGGGTTTTATTATGGTTAATAGTATATTACGAAGCATAGTTATATTATAGTTAATAGTATATAATTAGCAAGATGCCCGCCATGGCAGACCTAAACCCAACACCCTTCAACCGTAAGCCAAACAAAATAGGGGCATCCTAAAGCCTGAGCCGTCGAGGCCAGAATGCCTTGCACCCTGCCTAGACCCCCCAAAAGTAAGTGAAATACTGGCCCAAAACCTATAAAAAGACTATTCTTCTACTTACCTTCAGGGTCCAGGTGAAACCTACCTAAACCCTAAACCCTAAACCCTCGAGTTCAACCCAGCCGCGGGCACAGCGCCATCTTCGCTTCTTTCGCCCTCTGCACGCCGCCGGCGGCATGGCACCTGGAAGATGATCCCGGATCGGATGCTCTCCCTAAGGTTGGTTTAGGGTTTAGGGTTTAGGGTTCAGGGTTTAGGGTTTAGGGTTTAGGGTTTAGGGTCTAGGGTTTAGCGCTTAGGGTTTAGGGTTTAGGGTTCAGGGTTTAGGGTTTAGGGTTGAACCCATGGGCCCCTAGTATGGGCCCTTAACCCTGGGATCCTTGTACACCTGCTGTATACCCTATCTGTACCCTTAAGGGTCCCTAAAAAGGCCGAAGGGTCCATATTAGGGGCCCATACTTCTAACCTTAGACTCTCTCTTCACGTGAGGCAGGGCTTAGGGCTAAAGCTCAGGGTATAATGTAAGGGTCTGAATAATTAGAATTGGGTTTTGGGGCCCATTATACAATAATTATGGAGGACCCCCACCCCCCCCTCAAAAAAAATAGCAGAGGTAATCATCTAGGCCCCTACCAAAACCCTAAACCCTAAACCCTAAACACCCGAAACCCTACACTAAAGGCTTTGGCAAGACAAGAGAGAGGCTTCCGAAGGGTTGTGAACTTACGGGGTTGGTACCTTAAAGCAACCCTTCGGCAGTAGTTCTGCATGTAACCCATGAACACTGTTCTTTAGGAGTTCAGGGGTTTAGGGTCTAGGGCTTAGGGAAAAGGGCTTAGGGTATAATATGGGTATAGTATACTATAACTTGCTGTAACCGAACATGATAAAGAAAACCCTAAACCCTAAAGCACTCGTCGCAGAAAAGCACAATCCGACACCCGGGGGTCTGAAGCGGCTACACAGAGACCTGGCTGGGTCCTTGCCAAGGGATGTACTTCAAGTTGCTACACTAGGACCTATAGGGTTCAGGGTTTAGGATTTACTTCAAGTTGCCACACCGGGGCCACTAGGGATGTATAAGAACGAATACGGCTTGATCATGTGGCAACTTTAAACTAAACTCCTTATACCAAGAACCCAGCTGAACCGTCATCATAGGGTCTGGGGTTCATGTCTTTTGCATAAGGTAAACCACTGATTGCCGAACCCCCTTTCTATACAGGCCCCCCCCCCAAGAAGGACTCCGATAATCATTTATTTAGGCTTTAGGGTTATCATCCTTAGGGTTTAGGGTTTAGGCTTTAGGGTTATCATCCCTTTTCTCTCTTCTTCAACAACCAGGCCCAACAAAGTTCAAACTTTTTAGGGTAGACCTAATATATGAAGTCAAAAAGTTTAAAGTTCTCCCATTGGCTATCTAAGTTTTAGGGAAAGCCTTTGTTTGTAACAGGGGTCTGCATGGCTGTACGCGGGTTCCCCAGTGGCCACTAAGGGCAAAAGACGACGAATACCCTTAGCCGACCTTGTCTGGAGCGCTTCTTTTGCCTTAGTGCTGCAGCGGTTCCAATTCCTACAGGGATTTGGGTTTAGGGTTCAGGGTTGAGTCTAAGGTAGAACCCATGGGCCCCTAGTAGGGGCCCTTAGCCCTGGGACCCTAATATACCTA